AGACTTTTCAAACATGATTGATTTCTTTTCAAATAATCCTATTGCCTGAAAACAGTCACAGGGAAATTGTTTTCTTTGTTGATTCAAACTGTTTATGATTATTCTGTACTCGATGAAACCGATACCGAGTTGAGACTTCCAGTGATACACAAACGAGTTATGGCAGACAAATAAATGCTATAAAATGGTAATTTTACTTTGACGATGGAAAAATCATTTCTAGTGAAACATAATATGGGCCAATATACGCTTGATAAATAACGGATTAATTCAAAGTTTCGTTGTTATTGTTCTTTTCCTCGTCAATATGAAGAGCAGAAATGTAAGCAATTTGCATCAAAGGCAGGGAAAGCCTTAATGATGATGTAGAAGGATGTTCATTGCGTCTCTGACCCAAGGCATCCTGTAAATGAGTGTAAAAACACTGGGAAAAGGAAATGCTGTTGGTTCAACACTTTTAAAGTATGATCAGCTCACAAGTAAATCCTTTCTTAATTAAAACTTGAAAAGAGACAATGCAACTCCTAAAAAATTATCATTTACAGTTTCTTAATGAACAAATTTAATGGCTCTTCGTGCGGAAAATAATAGGACTGAACGAATACAAGTTTAAAGGCAGTTTTCTGTGTTTAAAGGCAACTTTCTGAAATCATTATTTGTTCAATCAATGGGAAAAATATGCTTTGCACATTTATGTAAATCCCAGCCAGCATAGCTACAATGATACTGTTTCACAATACTGTTTACATAACACTGCTAACTGCCACATTTTTACCGAATAATAATATGTTGTAATTTATTATATATTATTTCAGTTGTCAAAGGAAACCAAATATTAAATCAAAAATCAGAAACCGTATAATTAATAAAAAGCGCTAAATTTACGGGAGAATGAGATTAAAATAATATATGAATGTATGTGTGCCTGTATGTTTGTTTTGTATGTCTGTTTGTCTGTCTATAATTCAGATTTTTTCTCCATGAAATCTAAATGAACACTGAAAACCTATATTTTTATTCTATTTATGCATCTGGCAATTAACTGACTTCATTAGAAAATCTTAGTAAAAATCATTTTATTTTGTCACCAGCCAAAAATACAACTTCATTGAAATCGTTATATTTGTCAAAAACTTATATATTGTAGAATATTCTGCAGGGAATATTTAGTAGCAAATGAATTCATTCATATAAGAAATGTCAAAATAATCTCAAGAAATTTAAACTTAGTCTACAAACTCAGGGGCCATCAAGTGCACTCTAAAGCTAGTTTATATTTCTCTTATATGAAAATGAAAATAGTTACAGCAAAAAAAGCACAATCTGAAAATGATAATGTGTCAAAATAACTAAAAGGTACCGAACTCAACTCATCGAATCAATTTTATTAAAATATGAAAGTCGGAAAATTTCTAAAGAAATATAAACTATATATATATATATATATATAAAGTTGGCACTAGGGTGACAGTATTTTTCATGCTTGAACGCAATCTTCAGGCCATAAAGAATGCGTTCAAGCATAAAACAGACTGTCGCCACTCCTTATGATTTCAGTTTTCAGTTTTATATTTGCATGCGTTCTATCACTGCTACTGACTACTTTCATCCATAACTATAGCATACCTTAAAAATATATATTGATCACATACACGTATATATATATATATATATATATATATATATATATATATATATATATATATATATATATATATATAGAGAGAGAGAGAGAGAGAGAGAGAGAGAGAGAGAGAGAGAGAGAGAGAGAGATAGATAGTTAAATTCAACCGAAAAATTATTTTAATTGTATTTTTCCAATATTAGAATAAGATGTATATCCGAATCAAAATGATGCATAAAATCTCCCAATTTAATACTTTGTTCTGATTTGGTTGAAATAGTTTTGACTCTCTCAGTCATTGTCTAGAAGTCGATGTTGTCAGTCTGATAAACAAGATTTTGTTGGCTACATTCTGGCATTTTTTGAAACGCTGAGATTCAAATGAGTCTAAAATGATGCCATGTGTAAAACAGTTACTTGCTAGACCGCATCGGAAAAGAATATATGAAATATTTATACGAATTATTATTACTATGAATGCATATTAAATATTTCCACGTCAACTATATATTTAAAGGGGGTAGGGGTTTTTTGGATAGCTTGTAACATTTTGTGTCATTCCTTGCAGTGTTTTCTGTATATTATTTGGTTATTATCTATGTTAATAGTTGTATTTTTGTTGTTTGTGATGTGATGATCGATATATCCACAAAATGGTCTAAATTTCGACAATTAACAAATCAACCTATGAGAGGATGTGGATACGTGTGCGCCAGGTTTAAGAATTTAATGTTGTTTATCAATTATTAGTATTGAAAATGCAAACTCCCAAAGGACATGAAAATCCATAAACAACATTGTTTTTACATAGGAAAGATTTGTGTGTCTCCGAGTTTTTGGCAATAATTAGGTTAGATATTTTGAACATCGTACAGTAAATGTAAGATATTTGTTGGGATCATTAAGCAATCGTACAAATATTCCTACTGGCGAATTATATTTTTGATGCCTTTTTCATCTTGTTTATACTTAGGGTGTATCGAGTTAGGATATAGTCATTTGATGGTGTGTTTATATTTCTTTATATTAAGATCATTGTTTATATCAGGAAATACAATAAAAAATTAAACAGACAGACTTTGTGGGTTGAATTTAACAAAACCTGTTTAAAATATACATGTATATATATATATATATATATATATATATATATATATATATATATATATATATATATATATACTAATTTTCACCCAATACAAGGCCTAAGAGTTATTCAAGTTAGAGGTTTACTATGTACTGTTGTATGGGAATAAGAAAAAGCAAGCAGTGAAGTGCATGGGAGTTATACAGGAAGGATAACAGTTAACTCTAGACTTTAAGAGGTCAAGATTGTAGTGATAGTGAAAGCATCCTGCCAAGTGTCTGTTCTACAAAGCAGCATTTCTTGGGAAGAAGGTGTCTGAGTCGAACTTACTTCTTACTAATGGAATACGAAGTGCACGGCGATGATTTCTCTTTGTGTACGTGGTATGATCGGTCTCACTTGTAAAGCTCAGGAATGGAGGAACTGAGGAATATAGCACGTCAAGACACATGCCATTAAAATAGCAACAAAGTAGCGAGAGGCTCGTAATGTTTTGTCTGTAGGTAAGAGGTTGTAGGGTGAAAAATAATTAATCACTGCAGGGCGGCGTAGACGTTTTTCAATACAAGCTCCAGATATAACGGCAATACTCTGTTTTTGGTTTGATCTGGCCCTTGTAAAGATAGGGTATAGCAGGGGGTGTCAGATAATTGATGGAGCATTTTTCCAACATCTTTAGAAATAGATCAGGTATATGAGTGTCCCAATATACGTTCAAGACACTGCATTTAAATTTTTAAGATCAAAGTTGACTGGGAAGCAAGAAGCCATAAAAGAGTTCCCCAAGTGAGAAGAACGATAGAAGACATTGTTAGCATAGAACTTACGGTTACATCATTTCAACTGCAAAATGATAAAATCTTACCACCAATTTAGTTCTTCGCTTAAATTCTAGGTACCATAGTAAAAAGTTTATCAGTACAATTAGTATTGAAAATATTTATAGGAAAGGCACAGGGACGTTACGACGGTGGGTTGTGACTTATAAATATCTTATATAGATTCTGTCGAGAAAAATGTCTCGCGCAACACAATGAACCTTCCTTGCTTCAGACTGAGCATTTGATTCAATATACTCTTTCCACTGCATGTCAGAATGAGTCACTCTCCTGGAGGTTAGCATCATACATGCTGATGGGAGGCTCAGACGATTATAAGAAATCAGTTTGGGTCTGGAGACATTAAAATTAAGAAGCCACTACTTCCAACATTTAATAAGATTTAAGTTTGAAGGCGATTTTTTTTATATCAGCTGCCAATTTGACTTTATCGAGCCGATCAGATTTACTATTAAGACAGGAATAAATATTAGTGTCATTAGATACATAGCGAGTTGAGAAATGATGACACCAGGAAAGTCATTTATGAAAATTAGGAACAACATAGGTCCAAGGATAGAGCCATGTGGAAGATATCCATTAATGCAAAAAGATCTAGAAGAGTGGCCATTCAAGACAACTTTCATTTCGTGATTTGATAAGAAAGACACCATAACCTTTCATCTCGTGAAGAAGAACACTATGGCAGTCCCTGTTAAAAACCTTCGAGATATCGAAAACAACAGCGAGGTGAGATGCTTAATCAATTAAGAATTAATTAGAGCCTCTGGCACCTTGCCAAAAAGCGACAGAAGGCTAATAAGCCGATAGTTAGAAGGATGCCTAATTTTTTAAAGACTGGAACTACAAGTTTTATTAGAAATATCCTAAATCTTATATCTACCTATTAAAATCATACATAGTCTTTTCTAAATTGTGAATCACTTTTCGCAGACGTGGCTGTTGTAGATATAAAAAATAAATTAAATTATATATATATATATATATATATATATATATATATATATATATATATATATATATATATATATATATATATATATCTTTAATAATCTTTAGTATTAGTGCTTATGGCATTTTACTGGTTATCAATGCAAGTCATTTTAGCACTCCAGGAATATCTTCTGTATTCCTAACGAGTTTTCTTGTGAATAAAACTTGGTGGCTTTTACTAGTGATCAATCGAGTGTTTGTCTTTTCAGTGCCCCAACAGCTTCTTCTCTCTACCTAACGTGCTTTTATACCAGTAGGTCCTGATGGCTTTTACTAGTGATCAAAACAGTGCAAGTCTCGTCAATATTTCACCATATTCCTTTGAATTACTAACGACCTTTGATATCAGAAATATCAGGTGACTTTTACTGAATATCAAGTGTGTGCAATTTTCCTCCGCGCAATTTTCTCTGTTCCTACTAAAAACTCGAATCAGCGGCCTTTCACTTGAAATCAAATGTGCTCAACTCTGCTCAGTAATCCCAGCACCCTCTCTCTCTCTCTCTCTCTCTCTCTCTCTCTCTCTGTTCCTGAATCAGTGCGGCCTTTTTGAAATCAAATGTGCTCAACTCTGCTCAGTAATCCCAGCACCTCTCTCTCTCTCTCTCTTCTTCTCTGTTCTACTAACTTTTCATACCACTTGCCTTTCACTTGAAATCAAATGTGCTCAACTCTGCTCAGTAATAGGACTAACTTTTCATCTCTGAATCAGCGGCCTTTCACTTGAAATCAAATGTGCTCAACTCTGCTCTCTCTCTCTCCTCTCTCTCTCTCTCTGTTCCTACTAACTTTTCAAACTGAATCAGCGGCCTTTCACTTGAAATCAAATGTGCTCAACTCTGCTCAGTAATCTCTCTCTCTCTCTCTCTCTCTGTTCCTACTAACTTTTCATACCACTCGAATCAGCGGCCTTTCACTTGAAATCAAATGTGCTCAACTCTGCTCAGTAATCCCAGCACCTCTCTCTCTCTCTCTCTCTCTCTCTGTTCCTACTAACTTTTCATACCACTCGAATCAGCGGCCTTTCACTTGAAATCAAATGTGCTCAACTCTGCTCAGTAATCCCAGCACCTCTCTCTCTCTCTCTCTCTCTCTGTTCCTACTAACTTTTCATACCACTCGAATCAGCGGCCTTTCACTTGAAATCAAATGTGCTCAACTCTGCTCAGTAATCCCAGCACCTCTCTCTCTTCTCTCTGTTCCTACTAACTTTTCATACCACTCGAATCAGCGGCCTTTCACTTGAAATCAAATGTACTCAACTCTGCTCAGTAATCCCAGCACCTCTCTCTCTCTCTCTCTCTCTGTTCCTACTAACTTTTCATACCACTCGAATCAGCGGCCTTTCACTTGAAATCAAATGTGCTCAACTCTGCTCAGTAATCCCAGCACCTCTCTCTCTCTCTCTCTCTCTCTCTCTGTTCCTACTAACTTTTCATACCACTCGAATCAGCGGCCTTTCACTTGAAATCAAATGTGCTCAACTCTGCTCAGTAATCCCAGCACCTCTCTCTCTCTCTCTCTCTCTCTCTGTTCCTACTAACTTTCTACCACTGAAAAGCGGCCTTTCCTTGAAATCAAATGTGCTCTAACTCTTCGTAACTTTTCACCACCCTCGAATCAGCGGCCTTTCACTTGAAATCAAATGTGCTCAACTCTGCTCAGTAATCCCAGCACCTCTCTCTCTCTCTCTCTCTCGGTTCCTACTAACTTTTCATACCACTCGAATCAGCGGCCTTTCACCTGAAATCAAATGTGCTCAACTCTGCTCAGTAATCCCCACCTCTCTCTCTCTCTCTCTCTCTCTCTCTGTTCCTACTAACTTTCATACCACTCGAATCAGCGGCCTTTCACTTGAAATCAAATGTGCTCAACTCTGCTCAGTAATCCCAGCACTCTCTCTCTCTCTCTCTGTTCCTACTAACTTTTCATACCACTCGAATCAGAGGCCTTTCACTTGAAATCAAATGTGCTCAACTCTGCTCAGTAATCCCAGCACCTCTCTCTCTCTCTCTCTCTCTCTGTTCCTACTAACTTTTCATACCACCTCGAATCAGCGGCCTTTCACTTGAAATCAAATGTGCTCAACTCTGCTCAGTAATCCCAGCACCTCTCTCTCTCTCTCTCTCTGTTCCTACTAACTTTTCATACCACTCGAATCAGCGGCCTTTCACTTGAAATCAAATGTGCTCAACTCTGCTCAGTAATCCCAGCTCCTCTCTCTCTCTCTCTCTCTCTCTCTCTGTTCCTACTAACTTTTCTCTCGAATCAGCGGCCTTTCACTTGAAATCAAATGCTCAACTCTGCTCAGTAATCCCAGCACCCTCTCTCTCTCTCTCTCTCTCTCTGTCCTTACTAACTTTTCATACCACTCGAATCAGCGGCCTTTCACTTGAAATCAAATGTGCTCAACTCTGCTCAGTAATCCCAGCACCTCTCTCTCTCTCTCTCTCTCTCTCTCTCTGTTCCTACTAACTTTTCATACCACTGAATCAGCGGCCTTTCACTTGAAATCAAATGTGCTCAAATGCTCAGTAATCCCAGCAACTCTCTCTCTCTCTCTCTCTCTCTCTCTCTCTCTCTCTCTCTCTCTCTGTTCCTACTAACTTTTCATACCACTCGAATCAGCGGCCTTTCACTTGAAATCAAATGTGCTCAACTCTGCTCAGTAATCCCAGCACCTCTCTCTCTCTCTCTGTGTGTGTGTGTGTTGCTATTTTTACCAGTAGGTTCCGGGTACTTTCACTGGAGATCGAGTTAGAAGAAATCTCAATACGCCATCACTCTCCTCCTTATGTCAAATGAGTTTTCATACCACTAGCATCTGGTGGCTTCCGCTGTCAATCAAGAGAGAACAAGTCTCTACAATAAACCTCTCCTTTCTTTTCTTACTGTTTCCAAAATATACTAACCCAGCCAGAGAGTATTATTAATAATGCTCTCTGGTTGGATTAGTATATTTTGGACATTTTCCAATTCCTCTATTCATTTAAGATTTTCAAAAGCTATCATTTGCCATCTTCCTATTTTACAAATTCAAGCACTCTAGTTGTTTGGACAGTAGCTATCAATCCTTCCAGGAGTCACTAATACATACATTCACAATTCAGTATTCTTACCTGCAAGGTAGCAGATGTGACTGTACTAGCAGACCACAGAAAGAAAATGATAGAAAGAAAAAAAAAGAATATATATATTGGTACAGTCACATGTGCTACCTTGCAAGTCTTTTTTTCCCCTTGTTCCTTAACTATCCAATCTAGTTTCCTTACTTAATTTCTTTTCATAGTCACACACAATTTTACTCTTTTTATTTCCGGGAACATCCTCTGCTTCGTGCTTATATCATTTGTTTACAAGGTCAAGTTCAAAACATTTACATTATTCATGTTGTCTTTGTTGCTATTCTGTCATACTTATTTGTATATTTCCCTTTCGGCCAATCTAATCCGTTCATTTGCGCTATGAATTACACTGTTGCCTATTTCTATATTCATTGATCTTTTACGTTTGTTTAGGTTTTACTTTTATGCAACTGTTCCTAATACTTTTGTTCTGTACTTCACATTCTGTTGAGCATTTCCGGCGTCCTCTGTGAAACTATATCAGTGATTGTCTCTGCGATTTTTCTACTTGATGTTTATATTCTGCAAAGAGATATTTAATTTCCCAGTTTACTCTCCCTGTTTCGTTCGTTGCTTTTCCAGTATTTGTTGTTCTTTATGCTCATGCTGCTCTGTTTTGAGTAGTTTTCATGATTTTCCAACTGACCTGTGATACGTATTTTGGAAATTCAATTTTGACCGTCTGGACAGAGTCCCCAATGCCGAGTCCTCTTCCTCATTCTTTTCTATTTACATAAATATTCTGTTGGTAGAAATCTATTCATTGTCATTCATTTTCTGGCTCATCGATACATCGATTTACTTGCTCTCTTGTTCAGCCTAGAAAGCGTCCTGAATACTTCACTAATGATACTGGCTATGAATCCAATCTATTTAGCAGAGTTCTACTGTTTGGTGTTGTTGCTAATAAATTTCTTATTTTATTCAAATACTTCGTGTTCTTTTTTTGTTTTTTATCTCCTTTACTCATTTGAAATCGCTAAATTTCCCTTTTTAATACTTCTATTTTATTTTTTTCGCAAAAATGTTGATTATCATTGTAAAAAAGTTGAAATTTTCTGCTTTCTTCGTAAACAAGAATCTTCCATTTGTAATTTCTCAACATTAGATTCAGTGATATCATGATTATAACAAATACAAGTGGAGAAAAAGAATCTCTCTGAACGATGAATCTCTTGATATTTTCTCTCTGCTTGTGTTTTACAGGTTTCTGCTCAGGTTGAGCATATTTGCAGACTGTTTTGAGATAACCAATTACAATTTTTTAAGATAAAAATGAATTAAATAAATTAAAAACAATAAAAGTGAATTTTATTTATGAAACAGCCTAAGTTGATAGCAGAGTTTAAAGCTAAAAAATTCTGTGTTTTTAAAACTGCAAGTAATGATAAACAAAGAATTAAACAGAATAAAGTGAAATAAATAGTTGTTTATGCGCGGCAAATAATTCATACAAATAACAGATATATGTGTTTTCGAAAAGTCCAAAGATAGCAGCTGCAGATAAAAATACCTTTATGAAACGTCAAATAGTTGAAGCAGAAAGTAACATTATTTTGTAAGCATGAAATAAGTGTAAGTTAAATCAATGATCACGGAATTAACGGTTTAAAAATATAACTGAAAAACTGATTACCAGTGTTTATTTGAACATTTATTTTTAGCAACAATTTAAAAGCCCCCAAAATGTAAAATATGAAAGTAAGTAATTCGATCTAAATAGTTGTTTAGACACATTTTTTCTTTTCTGATATTTTACAAAAGATGACTTATTCTTGTGAGATTTGCACAGTACTAAAGATAACGTTGTATTGTCTGTCTACATAGATTTTATCCCAGCTATCATATCCTCTCTCCAGTTTCTTATCGAATTGGCGAAAAATTTTTACCAGTGTCCCATTAATCTTGAACATTTTATATCATTTGCGACTTGAAGATTCGTGTCTTATTGGATTACTTTTTAATCTTGAGTTCACTTCTTTCTGAATCATCTGATCGATAACGAATACTTCATTTGTCCTTTTAGTTCCTATTTTATTATGTCCTTCTAGTCGTAGTCCTCTGTTCTCCAAAAACTGCTAAATTTCCTTATTTGCCCAGTCAGAATGTTTTTGTTTTTTTTATATCAGGAGTAATCACGTTATTGTTCTGTAATTTTCGTATAAGACTTGATCTGCCTCAGGCCATACAGTCACGAGCCTTCAAGCGGTTTCGAATTTTCTGACAAAATCTTTTCGTATGATAATATTTTTTTAGGTATTAATTTCTTATTCTATGTTAATTTTTAAAATGACGATTCATTAATGTAAAATATCGAATAACAATATGGAAGATTTGAACAATTGCAATGATACAATATTTACTCTAGTAATTATTATTATTATTATTATTATTATTATTATTATTGGTTTTACTTTGTCAGGTTAAAGTTCATTTATTGAGACTTCACACCAATTGTAACTGGTGTCACTTGCTAAAGATCAATCTACAACAAATATCTTCATAATCCAGCAACCTCTTCCTTATTCTGTTTTTTTTTTTTTTTGTTTTTTTGTAATGCTATCATCTTGACGGCTCCCATTCTTCCTTGAAGTTTTTGTTCTTCCAACCTCAACTAGAGTCTTTAAGACTGTTCTAAGGGCATCACTAAAGCAAGATTCAAATATTTCCTAGCTTTTCATTTTGTTTCAAAATTCTACCATCGTTTTATGCAATCCATGAACTATTTAACGTTTTCTTTTATGTTGAAGAACTTTTATTTGTTGCAGTCTTTTAAGATTACAGTTAAAGCTCTCATAGCCATGGTAATTAGTAAGAGTAGCGGCTATAGGGAGGTTTTCCTCTTTTCAGACCAATCCTGGTGGTTACATTCACTTTCTAGTTTTTCATTGCGGATCTGTCAATCTTAAATATTCTGAGGCATTCGAGTATCCAGAAATTATATCATATGCTTTTCTCTAGTCAATCAATCCCATTGCAAGATTTACCTATTTTTGGTTTTAGCTGGTCAGTGTAAATCAAGTCATTTCTTTGCTGTTCTTCTGGTAAGAGCCATTGTAAGATTCGTATATTTTCCTGCCATTTGTTCAATCAGGATTTTCTACATCAATAGTAGTCACGTGATCGGTTTGTAGTAGTTCGCATCAACACTATATAATAATTACCGCTATGTATTTATTTATGTTTTCTGTTACGTTAGACATTCAATGGTATCTATGGCATCATTGATTACTCTTGGAATGGTATCTATGGTATCATTGATTACTCTTGGAATTATATAAATCGCTCTTTGTTCAATATTTTTCGTGTTAAAAGTTTTATGTTTAATATGACAGTGAATCGAAATAGGAACACCTCTCGAAAGAAAAAGATTAGCAATAGAACATGGACGGCGACGACGACAAAGTCTATTCCGAGACCAAGTTAAAGAAAGGCAAATGTGTTTGAGTGTCTCGCAAGAAAGGCTTAAACAGTATAGAATAAAGAATTCACGGGGTAATCAATTAAACAAAATTTTCGCAAGAAACGCCGTGGTAATGGAATTAATTGACTAAACAGTACATTAGCAGATTTCGTTTAAATTGTGGCATTTGAAATTACTTCCGAAATCTGGAACTCAAATAATTGAAGCTCTTCATTTTAACAGTTTAATATCAAAAGTAAAGGTGACCAAGGAAATAATTTAAAAAAAGAAGTCATTACAAGAAACATGATAATAAGAAAAATAATTGTGTAAACACTTTAACGGCATCTGCTTAAGTTGGGGATTCTGAAACTCTGTTATATAGTATAAAAGAATACATGTAATTGTAATGTTGTTTAAAATAATACATGTAAATGTAATTTGTTATGTAATAAATGTAACATAGCAAAAATATTTTTAAGAAACGTAGTAGTAAGGGAATGGATTAATTAAACAGTTCATTAACATCGGCTTTATTTGTGAATTATGTATTTCCACTTTATTAAATTTCATTGCAGTGCATGCCAATATTAAAACTTTCTAACAGTTACCTTCATTTTCGACGGCAAGAGTATACTGGTATATCTATAAAAAATGTTTAAACAAAATTAGTTATATATATATATATATATATATATATATATATATATATATATATATATATATATATATATATATATATATATTTTCTACTGCATCAGGTATTCCTTTTTTTTTTTTTTGTATGTGTCCAGTAATCTAGTTCGCAGTCAGCTTTTCGTCTGTTTGACGTTTGGAGGGATCTGTTTTCCAATATTATGTCGCAGGCCAGTTTGTTGTTCCATTTGTTCAAGTTTGCCTTCGGAGTTATAAGAATTTCGGTCACTGTTTTTTGAGCTCCGTTTTAT